AGGGATGAAAAGTACAGTGTAGGGAATATAAATGCTATATGGTGACAGATGGTGACTACACTTATTACAGTGAGCGCTGTGTAACATGTATAATTGTTGGGTCACTGTGCTGTACCCCTGAAACTAATATAATATTATATGTCATCTATACTTCAATGAGAAGAAAAAAATAACTTATGAAATTTCTCTTAATACAGTAAAGCTAAAGAGTTGCCTTACAGTGTATGTAGATAGTTTTATTCCGTAAAAAGAGAGCAAAAGTATTTTTCTGATGCATAAAAAAAACATATTGGTTAACATCAACCTAAAAAGTATCACCCCAAAACTAATATATAGTCATCTTTTCTGAGAACTATCCATCTCGGCCTCTTACTTACATTTTTCACTGTGAAGTCTCTGATGGTCCATTGTGGAAGAACAATTTCTGAGGTCATTGCCACAGTTATGTCCCCATAGTCCTGAGCTTGCTTGGAGGGCCAGTATTCCTCACATTTGGTCTAGAATAAAATTGCATTTAAAAAAAAAAAATTGGGTCACATCGTCTGTCATCACTAAAGCCTCAAAAGGGAGGCCAGATATTGAAAACTGGCATCAGAGGCTAGGAGTTCTGTTTGACTCCCAAAACTGTTTTTTCATTTACAATTATTGCCAACTCTTTTAAAATTGGGAGGTTTGTCATAAAAATGCAGACTTCTGGCTTCTCTTGAGAAATCAGAAGATCTGGCCAACACTGAGCCCCAATTTCTGCATGAAAATGGACTTAGAGCAGAACATTGTCCCTTCTCTGGGGACATAGTGTCAGCCAGTTCCACTTGGCCCCTAGAGCAGCCAGTCCATAACTATTCACTGGACTAAATTCAGACTGACCCATAACCCCTTGCAGCTAGAAGAAACGAGGACTTCGCCCAAGACTTTTAGATCCACGCTAATTATAATACAAATACAGACACCGATAAAGAGAATCAAATCAAATCACTCTGGGCCTTTGATTTTCATAAGTTGGTGGGCAGATGTGAACAGAAATAAAAACCAGGAGGGGCGCCTGGGTGGCTCAGTTGGTTAAGTAGCCGACTTCGGCTCAGGTCATGATCTCTCGGTCCGTGAGTTCGAGCCCCGCATCGGGCTCTGTGCTGACAGCTCAGAGCCTGGAGCCTGTTTCAGATTCTGTGTCTCCCTCTCTCTGACCCTCCCCCGTTCATGCTCTGTCTCTCTCTGTCTCAAAAATAAATAAACGTTAAAAAAAAAAAAAAGAAATAAAAATCAGGAAACATCGGTTCTCCACGAATATCCAAATCCCCAGATTTGGTAAATGATTTCACACACACACACACACACACACACACACACACAGTCTCCCACTCTCTCTCTCCCTCCCCACCCCCTCTGAGAGGCATACTCTACTGCAGGTGGCTTCCAATTATCTAACTTCTGCAGGTGGCTTCTATAATCTAACTCACCTGGGAGGTCTGTTTTGCTTTAAAAACAGATGCCCAGGCCCCACCTCCAGAGCTGCAGACTCTGGTTGGGGACCTGTATTTTCAAGAAGATCCCAGTTTCTAGATCACTGCTCCCAGAAAGAACACACGTCTTGGACACTCAATGACATAGACCTGATGCTCAGCTCAGCCTCTTCCCAGCTGGGTTTCTGTTGCCACCCTGTAGGCAAGTTCTTAAACTCTCTGAGCCTCAGTTTCCCCATCGATACAGTAATTATACAGGAGGGTTGTTATAGGAAAGAAATAACATAAATGGAGTATCTAGTGCAGAAAGCTCACTACCTCCCTTCCCTTTCCATCCAGAGTCAGTAAATCTACTTCCCTCCTGACTTTCGATACACAAGGGCACACCTAGGTTCATTCTCTTCATGTTCTCCATTAATTTAACTATGTCATGTTCATTTGTCTAACAGATATTTAACAGAATGTTCCATGTACCAGGCCTGAGCCTCACAACACCATAAAGTTTATCTGCGTTCACAAACAAAGTTCTTTTGTTTGCACAACAGCCTATTCTCCGGATGCAAGGAGGTGGTGGAACCCAAGCTTCTATATCGCAAGCCCCGTGAAGGTGGGAACCAGTTCTTACCGTGTTTTGTGATCTTTCCCTCCCCCAGCCCCAGCCCCTAGCAGAGCACCTTACACATACTTGGGGCAGGATAAACATTCAAGTTAAATAAAGAACATTTATTTAAGAGGTTTCGGGGCACCTGGGTGGCTCAGTCGGGGAAGCATCCAACTCTTGATTTTGGCTCAGGTCACGATCTCACACTTCATGAGACTGAGCCCCATGTTGGGCTCTGCGCTGACAGCGTGGAGCCTGCTTGGGATTCTCTCTCTCTGCCCTTCCCCTGCTCACACACACTCTCTCTCAAAGTAAATAAACTTAAAAAAAATTTTTTTAAAGGGGCTTCAATGGGTTCCCACAACCACCCAGGGCAGATCCGCTCCAAGTGCGCACTCCAGAGCAGCAGAAGCAGCCGCACCGAGAACTCTCCAAAATGCAGTTCTGGGGATCCCAGCCCAGACTGCCCAAACCAGAAGCTCTGGAGGCAGAACCACCTTCCAGGGGATTCTGATGGACTTTCAGGTCTGAGAAGCACTGGCCTAGGGAGTGAATTCCTATTCCTCAGGTAACAAACCCACAGGAAAACATTCCCAGAGCAATGTTAGGTCCTATTCCTTGGGTACACAATTTCTGAAGTCAGTCTATGTCTTTCAGGTCTTCTTAGATGCATTTATGGAGACATGGGATTTTATTACAAGAAGAAATCTTATCTTTGGTGGAAGCAGCCGGGGGGTTTCAGGCCATCACAGGGGAGAGGGGACTGCTGAGGTTTATCTGGGGAGAAGTCTGAGATTTGGGGTAAAGTAAGGGTTCCAAGGCTAAAAATTGGGTTTGATCACTGAGTTGGTCGAATCTATCATCTCACAGATGAACAAGCTGGATGCTTAGAGACACAGAGCTGAGACAGCCGGAGCCGTTTCTGCTCCGGACTGGGAGCTTTGCGCTGGGCGACCCCAACTCCTGTTCCTTGTAACTCTAGCTGCAGCAGCCTCATGAACAGAGAACACTGATATTCATCCACAAAAGAAGGCAACACTAAAACTCTTCTTTGTTTAAACTGATTTTTAAGCGTTTCTCTTAGAAAAGAAAAATACAGAAAATGAGTTTCTAAGACTAGAGGTGATGTTTGGGGGAGTGTTTTCTTTAAAAAACAAAAATGCTTCTTAAGATATACTTTCACTGGGGCGCCTGGGTGGCTCAGTCGGTTGAGCATCCAACTTCAGCTCAGGTTCATGATCTCATGGTTCGTGAGTTCGAGCCCCGTGGTAGGCTCTGTGCTGACAACTCAGAGCCCGGACCCTGCGTCAGATTCTGTGTCTCCCTCTCTCTCTGCCCCTGCCCCGCTCGTGCTCTCTCTCTGTCTCAAAAAATAAATAAACATTAAAAAAAATTTTTTTAAGATATCCTTTAACCACAGCCAAAATGAATTAATTAATTTAATTTAATAATTTAAATCAAAGATACTTACCCTTCCCTGTTCGACGCATTTGGTCAACATAACGATGGCATATACATTTTTCTCCCAAACCATACGCCAAAAATCTTTCAGAGTGTTGGGTAAAGGCCCTTGGGTGGCAATAAATTCTTTCTTGGAATGGTAGCCCTAAAACACGGAAAGTGACAGAAATTCAGCGTCAGAGAAACAAAGAGGAGCCCTGAAGATTTCATCCTTACAAGCCGTGCCATGGGAACGTCCCCCCACTTACAGGCATGTAGTTGGCATTGATGTAGTCGTCAGTTGAATGGGCCTGGACAGAAAGCTTGACACGGGAAATATCATCTATGACATTAAGAGAAAAAAAGGTCCCCATTAGAAGCAAATGTTTGAGGAGAATCACATATAAGAGAGACAAGTACAAAATGGCAACACATTGTGAGGGTGTGCTGCGTGGCACTTTACAGAAAATGAGATGACCTTAATTGGACCCTCACAGTCAGCCTATGTGACCGGCACAGAGAAGTTAGGCAACTACCCGGCAAAGCTAGTAACTGGCAGAACCAGGGTTCGAACTCAGGCAGCCTGACGCTGGGGTGCAAGCTCCTAACCACACCAGACCACCTTCTGAAACAACACAAACCTACTACTATTAACATCCTTGGGTGTGTGCCGTGAGCCAGGGAGTGCACTGAGCAATCTTATTTATTCCTCAAAACCACCCTACCGGCCTGTGTGCCCATTTTACAAACGAGGAAACTGAGGGTCAGGAAGATTAAGTGACTTCTCCCAGCACTGATGTCCGGTCAAGGGCAGTCAGAATTCAACTCTAGTGCCCTTTCCACCATGGCAGGGTAAACACCCAAATTTGCATACTTTATTTCCATAGAAATGTTATTACGACAAGACAGTACCAAATTCCAGAATAAAAATGTGTAAGACTATTATAGGCGGAAAGATCTAAAACACAAAAATTCTCATGTTTTCTAAATACTATCATCTCAAAACCACACAAACGTGTCCAACTCAAGAAATGAAATAATAACTTGAGAATTTCAAATGTCAGGAAGAATAATCAGCAGCACCACGTGTTTCCCTGTCTTTGACTATATACCATCTCGTCCTCCTCTTGGACAAAACAATATGACAGTTCCAAGCTCGGTTACCAACATGACTCGTAGTCTAGAACTTTCCCAATAAAAACAGTACCCGAGGGACACCTGGGTAGCTCAGTCGATTACACGTCCAACTTCAGCTCAAGTCATGACCTCGCAGTTCGTGAGTTCCAGCCCCGTGTCGGGCTCTGTGCTGACAGCTCAGAGCCTAGAGCTGCTTCAGATTCTGTGTCTCCCCCTCTCTCTCTGCCGCTCCCCCACTCTCACACTGTCTCTCTTTCTCAAAAAATAAATAATAAACGTTAAAAAAAAATTAAAAAAAAAAACAAAACAGTACCCGAACTCTGGATCTGAAAACCTCTGCAGCAACTGTAAGATCAGGCCAGTGATCCTGGGTTAACCCTAGAAGGGCAGGATGGGGGCGTATCCCACTAGCCTGATTTTCAAAACATTTTTCCTGGAACAAGGTTCAATGCCTGCTGTCAATACAAAGGGGATGGGGGGGGGGGGGGGGGGGGGGGAGGGGGCACAGGGAGGAGATGAAGAGAAAGCACACAAGCTAAAAAATCCTGAATCTAAACAGAAGTTAATGTTTTAGGCCAGGAAAGAAAAACACAGCCTCAAATATAAAACGACAATGTCTCTAGGGGCGCCTGGGTGGCGCAGTCGGTTAAGCGTCCGACTTCAGCCAGGTCACGATCTCGCGGTCCGGGAGTTCGAGCCCCGCGTCAGGCTCTGGGCTGATGGCTCGGAGCCTGGAGCCTGTTTCCGATTCTGTGTCTCCCTCTCTCTCTGCTCCTCCCCCGTTCATGCTCTGTCTCTCTCTGTCCCAAAAATAAAAAAAATAAAAAAATAAAAAAATAAAAAAAACGACAATGTCTCTAAATGTCCTGATGTAAAAAGTATCAGCAGAACCTAGAAATTACGCCTAAATCAGAACACAGCTGCAATCGACTGATACGTCTTTGTACCGTAATTCTCATTCGAAAGAAAGACCACAAAGAACTTTTCTGTGGAGGAAGGTTCACATTTCATCTGAATGGATGATGTAACAAATAATTCTTATTTTAAACCCAATTTGTCGTTAGCCCCATGCATTCGGCAGATATTGTTAATTCTCAAAATGTGAATCCAGATACAATTCATAATTAGCAGTGGGATGCATTCAGCCAACCAGAGATGTATCCGGACAAGCAGAAAGCATTACTCCCTGCCTGTTCTCCTCTTACCCACTTCCTTTCTAGAACTATGTTAGCTGAAATAAAGGGGCTTTGAGATAGAGGGGATAAGAGCACAGACTCTAACCCTTACCCTGAAAGAAATGACAGACCTAATCCAGAGCCGGGCCTGCCTGCCACGGGCCTCTGTGTGACTTGGGACAAATCACCTAGCTACGCTGTGCCTCGTTTCCTCATCTGCAAAATGAATATGCTACCACCTACCGCATAAGGTTCTCATGAGGCCTGGATGCAAAGGAATATGCCTAAATACAAGGCTAAATTAGCACACCGCAGGTGACTCCTGAATAATTGTGGAGGTGGTTAGTAACTATCTTGACCCCACTTCCCTCCACTGTGAGAGGGGCGATGGCCAGGGACAGACAAAAGGGAAGATCTTGTGGAAAAAACAACTCACACGGCAGAACGTTATTATAGCGATTCTTTCCTCTGTTCTCAGCCAGTTCCGCTGTATATTTAGGTAGACTAATTCCAACAAGCTTCAGATCCTGAAAACAAAACAAATGAGTCGTCCATTTAGTTAGTGTCCAGATATTATTTATACTGAGCATCGCGTAGGACAAAGTGTGAAGGCAGAGGTGTTTTGAGTTAAAGGTATGTTGGAGTTCTAACCCTCAAGGACCGGGGAATGCAGCCGTATTTGTCATCAAAATAAGATGAGGTCATAGTGGATTAGGGACGGGGAGCCTTAATCCAACAGGACTGACGCCTTTACAGAAGAAGAAGCGCTGAGATAGACACTCAAGGGGAGGCGGCCATGCTGAGGTGAAGGCAGGCACAGGACTTAGGTTGTTACAAGCTGGCTGAAGCCAGGCAGGAGCTTCTTTTAGAGGCTTCGGAGGCACCACAGCCCTAGCAACAGCTTGATTTAGGTCCACTGGCCTCCAGAACTGTGAGAGAAGGATTTGCTGTTGTTCTAGTGCTTTGTGACCACAGCCCTTGGAAACTAATGCAGAGGTTAAAATAAAAGAAAAAGGATAATCCTTGCCTTCCAGGTGCTTACACCCCGGGAGAGAGGCACAGGCAGAAATAACTAACGTCAGGGTGCCTGGGGGTCTCAGTCAGTTAAGCATCTGACTTCGGCCAGGCCATGATCTCGTGGTTCGTGAGTTCCAGCTCCCCATCAGGCTCAGTACTGACAGCTCAGGGCCTGGAGCCTGCTTCTGATTCTGGGTCTCCCTCTCTCTCTGCCCCTCCCCCCACTCATGCTGTCTCTCTGTCTCTCTGTGTCTCTCTCTCTCTCTCTCTCTCTCTCTCTCTCTCCCTCTTAAAAGTAAATAAACATTGGGGCGCCTGGGTGGCTCAGTCGGTTGAGCGTCCGACTTCGGCTCAGGTCACAATCTCGCGGTTCGTGAGTTCCAGCTCCCCATCAGGCTCAGTGCTGACAGCTCAGGGCCTGGAGCCTGCTTCTGATTCTGGGTCTCCCTCTCTCTCTGCCCCTCCCCTGTTCATGCTCTGTCTCTCTCTGTCCCAAAAATAAATAAACGTTAAAAAAAATTTTTTTTTTAAAGTAAATAAACATTAAATTTTTTTTTTTAATTTAGAAATAACTGATGTTACAACGAGGCAGAATTAAATAAACACCACATGTCACAGATGAAACAGGTAGAAAGAGAATTTAAGTCCTCCTGGGCTGTGCTTTGAGTTGCACAGTAGGTTCAATGGCAGGCCCAAAAAAGCCAGGCCCCCTTCCTAACTCCTACAACCTGTGGATGTGACCTTATTTTGGAAAAGAGTCTTTGCAGATGTATTTAGGTTGACAACCTTGAGGTGAGATCATCTTGGATTATGTGGGTGGGTCTTAAATCCAATAAGTGTCCTTATACAAAAGACACCCAGAGGGGAACTATGGGGAGGGGGAGGAGGAGACCATAGAGAGTGGAGTGACTGGGCCCTAAGCCACGGAACGCGTGGAGCCACCCGAATCAGAAAAGGCAAGCAAGAGGTTCTCCCCCAGATATTTGGAGGAACCACTGCCTTGCTGACACCTTGACTTTGGACTTACTATAGCCTCCAGAACTGCAAGAGAATAAATTTCTGTTGTTTCAAGCCACCAGTTTGTGGTGATTTGTTATTGCAGCCACAGGAAACCAATGCAAAGAGGGAGTAGACTCAATAAAGGCAGAGACCACAGCAGGGCCGCCCAGGGAGGGCGAGTGTGCTCGGCCAAGCTCCTGTGGGGGGTAGAGCACATGGGGACTGACAGGCAGAAACTCTTTCCGCAGGACTTCACAGAATGCTCCGGAATCAATGTCGGCCACACAGCCGTCAAGCCCCAGCCCGGAAATGCCAGCCAGAACAGCTTCCTAATTATCCCAGTTAACAGCCCTCAGACTTGAACTTGAACGCCTAGTTTCTCTACCTTTCGCTCTCTCTCCCTCTCCGCATAATCTTCATTTATCAACAAGACTGAACACACAAACCACTAGAAGCGAGGGTACACCTAAGTGCTTGCAGCCCACAGGGCCACTAGGACCCCTGAGGTCTACCTGACAGAGTTACTCTCCCCTCTAAGAGGGCCGCCTCTTATCCAGCGCTCCCCCACGCAATAAAAACAGGCGGTTTTCCAACTTGCAGGAGAAACATAAAGCAATTAAGAATACATTATTTACAACCACGTACTTCATATTCTTCTGCAAACCCACAGTTGGAGTCCGCTTGTTGTTTCTTAAAGTAGGCTTCAAAATTCTCCACTTTGATTAACTTGGATCTAAGAAAATAAAAACAGCTTATGAGGACTTTTTTTTACATCCAGTGAAGTTCATGCTCAAAACAGAAAAAGACAAGTTATTTAAAAATTAAAGAGGCTACTCACTTTTTAGGTCTTCATCATAGAAAGGGAAAGAAAAGAATAAGAATTAGAAACACCGACTGGATCATGACTCTAGAAATGATAGTAAACGTCTTCCCAAAGGAACAAAAACCAGAGTAAAATGGGGGGAGGGCGCGTCAATAGAATGTTATTTACAAAACAATGAAATGTGTGAATCAGGAAATCTCCCTTCTAGAGCCTGTCCTGTAACTGATGGGCTTTGTGACTTTACACAAGGTCTCCTACCTATTGATAACCGGTTTATTTGTTCTCAAAAATCACAAAATATGAGGGGCACCTGGGTGGCTCAGTCGGTTAAGGGTCTGACTCTTGATTTCGGCTCAGGTCATGATCTCAAGGTTGTGAGATAGAGTCCTGGCATCAGGCTCCGCTCTAGGCATGAGCCTGCTTAAGACATTCCCTCCCTCCCTCTCTCTCCCTCTCTCTCTCTCTCTCTCTTCCTCCCTCCCTTCCTCTCTCTCTGCCCCTCCCCCCACCCTCACTCATGCTCTCAAAAAAAACAAAAAATCAGAAAATACATATTTAGTAGAATATGGAAGTAAGGTTCTACTTTGCCATAGTAGAACACAGCAAGGAAGCAGGCAGCTTCAGGAGACTAATAAACAGAGAGTCCTTGCAGAAAAACAAAGTTAGCAAGAATTCCTGCATGATCAAGGCCAAATGTGTCAATCAGGAAAAATGACAGCAAGTTCCATCAAAAAGTCACTAGAGGGGCACCGGGGTGGCTCAGTCGGTTAAGCATCCAACTCCTGGTTTCAAATCAGGTCATGATCTCACAGTTCATGAGTTCAAGCCCCCCCAACATCGGGCTCCTCTCTGACAGCACAGAACCTGCCTGACATTCTCTATCACTCTTTCTCTGCCCCTCCCCCACTCGCCTGCTCTCTCAAAATAAATAAACTTCAAAAAAATGTTTAAACAATAAAAAATAAAGTAAAATAAAAATTCTCAATAACTAACTCCAGAGACTTACTTAATCTGAGAAAAGGATACTTCATTATTCTTTGCTTCTTTCCTGTTTTGAAAGAAACAGAGACCCATTAGACCAAGAAAGAGTAATTCTGTGTTTTTTCCCCTTCAACGTATCTACAAAAGGACTTTTCCCCGGGCATTAGTTCACATATGGCACTAAATCCCATTCACTAATACTAAGCTTCATGGTCTAAGCAGCAAACACTGATTACAGATCTATGAAGTAACTCTCTTTCATACCATCCAAAAGTATGGAAGAATCTTGCTCGGGCAACTTTTAGGAATATCTTTGGGTAAAAATACATTAGCAGCTGACCCTCTGGTAAAGCCAGACTCATTTTTTCATGCTGTTTCTTGAGAAAGGCCTTTCTGATGAGTTAATGAAATAAATCAGAAAATATAGCCACTGTAGATATGGAGGCGGGGCATCTGGCATTCTCCTGCATTGCTGGCCAAACCCCATACTGGTGTTAAATAATAATAATAATAAAATAAAAAAATAAAAATAACCCTCTGGAGGGCACCCTGGCAGTACGTATCAAAACTGAAAACATGCATCACACCCACTGTCCCAGCAACTGCCCACCTTGGAATTTAGCCTAAGGAAATAATCAGGAATGTGCTCAAAGATTACTGTGGCAAAAACAAAAAACCAAAGAACAAACCTGAAAACATCAGGAAAATTGGTTGAATAATTTCTGTACAATTGAATACTCCGCAGCCACTTAAAATGAAGATTTAAAGCTGTACACAATGTCTTAAATAATAACGCAGACTAGAAAATAATACACATAATAGGATTCCACTTGTGTGTGAGTTTCACTATCCTATCAACATTCAGAGTCGTTTTGGGCTGTGATTATGAATCATCCAGTGTCTTTGCTCTTCTGTATTTGTTTTTTTGGGGGGCCACAAGCATGTATAACTTTTATTTTAACAAGAAACAATAAAGCTGCTTTGACCCCTCCCTCAGAAGATGTTTTTTTTACTCTGCCTGTCAGCCCTACAGGGCAAGATGGCGGCAGAGGGACCGGGCACAGTTACATCAAGGAACTCTGAGCCAGGATGAAATTCTCCAACTGGCAGCAGTTGACAACCAGGAATGAATCCCAGCTGATACGCAGGCTTCAACGGCCACACGGTTAGACAGGAGACTGAGCAATGAAGTGCAAACACCAAGTTCAAGTTCATTTCCACGCTTCCCACACTCAGCTTGTGCCTCCTTGCAAGGCGGCTTTCAAGACCTTCCTCCTAGAGCCCCGGTGAGTATGAGATTTGACAGAAGACACAAATCCAGGTGCAGAGTGAGCTAGCAAAACAGAGCTGCGATTTTTTTTTTTACTATTTAACTACCTCGAAGGGTAGTTGTACAGATAACAATAGTAGCATACAGGGTCCAAGGCACTGTTGAAGCGTTGTATTTATTTTACGCTCCCCCTGTCACAAGTTAGGTCCCGTTATTATCCCTACATCACAGACTATGTGGACATTACAGCGAAGCTCCCTAACCACTAGTCAGTCAGAGCATGTGTTCAAACTTAGCTAACTCTCGAATGAAATCTCTTGGGGCTCCCGGGCGACTCGGTCGGTTAGGCGTCCGACTCTTGGGTTCGGCTCAGGTTATGAACTCACGGTTCGTGAGTTCAAGCCCCGCATCGGGCTCCGCAGTGACAGCATGGAGCCTGCCTGGGATTCTTTCTCTGCCCTTCCTCCACTCTCTCTGTCTCTCAAAATAAATAAACTTAAAAAAAATTTTTTTAATGAAATCTCTTAACACCTCAACACTGACTTGTGGACCAGAGGGCACTGTTCGAAAGGAGCACTGCACACTGCAGCGTTTGCCCCGACCTGATGCCGTAGGGGCTGAGACGAAGTACAACTGGCCGGATAGTGAAGAGCCTGGGTGACGGGGACATGGGAACTCGTAACACGAGTCCTTCCAAATGTGAGAATGTCTGAAATTTTCCAGAGTAAAAAGCTCCTTTAAAAACTAGGGTATTATCGGGGCGCCTGGGTGGCTCAGTCAGTTAAGCATCCGACTTTGGCTCAGGTCATGATCTCGCAGTCTGTGGGTTCGAGCCCCACATCAGGCTCTGTGCTGACAGCTTAGAGCGTGGAGCCTGCTTCAGATTCTGGGTCTCCCTCTCTCTCTGCTCCTCTCCTGCTCATGCTCTGTCTCTCTCTCTCTCTTCCTCTCAAAAATAAAAATAAAACATAGAAAAAAAGTTTTTAATTTAAAAAATAAAAAGTAGGGTATTATCAGGGTGCCTAGGTGGCTCAAAGTCAGTTAAGCATCCAACTTCAGTTCAGTTCATGATCTCACGGTCATGAGTTCCAGCCCCACTTCGGGCTCTGTGCTGACAGCTCAGAGCCTGGAGCCTGCTTTAGATTCTGGGTCTCCCTCTCTCTGCCCCTCCCCCGTTCATGCTCGGTCTCTCTCTCCTCTCTCAAAAATAAAAAAACATTAAAAAAAAAAGTAGGGTATTATTAACATGAGCAACAGTCACCTTTTCTTCCTCCAGAAGATGAAGCCTCCCACAGCCACAATTACCAGCGCACCAAAGATACACCCAAAAACTGCTCCACAGATGACACCTGAGAAAAGTCCAAATGGAAAGCACTTCAGAAGATGTTCATGAACAACCGACCCAGGGTCCTCAAACCAGAGTATGACTGTGTGTGTGTGTGTGTGTGTGTGTGTGTGTGTGTGTGTGTTAAACGCCTTTGGACATAAAGTTAGCCTGGGCATTTGGGATCCGGGTTCTCTATCCCCAGTCCACCATAACAGGCTGGTCTTGAGAAAATCAGTGCTCCTCTCTTCTGAGTATCCTCAACTGCAAACTTAAAGAACTGGGCCATCTGTGATTTTCAAGTTGTTCTTACCGCTGATGCCTTTCTTCACATGAAATTGCATGCAGCAGCCCAATATATAAAATAGAAAACCAGGGGTGCCTGGGTGGCTCAATCGGTTGAGCAGCCGACTTCGGCTCAGGTCATGATCTCACGGTCCGTGAGTTCAAGCCCTGCGTCGGGCTCTGTGCTGACAGCTCAGAGCCTGGAGCCTGTTTCAGATTCTGTGTCTCCCTCTCTCTGACCCTCCCCCATTCATGCTCTGTCTCTCTCTGTCTCAAAAATTAATAAACGTTAAAAAAAAATTTATAAAAAAAAAGATAAAATAAAACAAAATAAAATAAAATAAAATAAAATAAAATAAAATAAAATAAAATAAAAAACCAGGGGGTGCCTGGGTGGCTCAGTCGGTTGAGCATCTGATTTCGGCTCAGCTCAGGATCTCACGGTTCATGAGTTTGAACCCCGCATCGGACCCTTTGCTGTCAGCACAGAGCCTGCTTGAGATACTCTGTCCCCGCTCCTGACCCTTCCCCCGTTTGTGCTCGCTCTCTCTCTAAAATAAACATTTGGGGTGCCTGGGTGGCTCGGTCAGTTAAGCGTCCGACTTCAGCTCAGGTCATGATCTTGGGGTTCAAGCCCCACGTCGGCTTCTGTGCTAACCGCTCAGAGCCTGGATTTCGCTTTGAATTCTGTGCCTCCCTCTCTCTCTGTTCCTCCCCCACTCACACTCTGCCTCACTGTCTCTCTCTCTCAAAAATAAATAAAGAATAAAAAAAATTTTTTTAACAGTAAATAAATAAACCATTTAAAAAATAAATAAATAAAATAGAAAGCCAGGCAGAAACGCTCTCGTGGAGGTCAGGTGGCAGCAGACAGGATCTCCGGACTGGCTCTTGTTTGGTGGAGTGACCAGTGTTTAAAGACTACGAGCCAAGGGGCACCTGGGTGGCTCAGTAGGTTAAGCATCCGACTTTGACTCAGGTCACGATCTCGCGGTCCGTGAGTTCGAGCCCCGCATTGGGCTCTGAGCTGATGGCTCGGAGCCTGGAGCCTGCTTCCGATTCTGTGTCTCCCTCTCTCTCTGCCCCTCCCCCATTCATGCTCTGTCTCTCTCCGTCTCAAAAATAAATAAATGTTAAAAAAAATTTAAAAATAAATACATAAATAAAATAAAATAAAGACTACAAGTCAAAATGTTCCACATGGTTCCCGCCACCTCTGACGTTGTGAGACTAACACCCACGTGTGAGCGGAAATACTGACCGCTCTGTACTCATGGGACATAACACCCTTTTTTTATTGGGGAAGGCTACAGGGACTCCCTGCACTTTGCTTCTGGGACTTCTTTCCCAAAGCCAACAACTATCGAGTACAAAAACCAGACCAACTAACAAACCAGTTAGTCACGTTATCTCTGGCCTGAAGGCAGAGTATGTACCCCGCTTGGGTCCTTGAAGCTCCTAAATGATTCTGTGTGACAAAAGACGGCTGTGCTTGACAAGGAGTCTGAGGGAAGACTGTCAGGCCTGCCTCTGAGCCACTGTGTAACTTTGGGCAAGTCATTGCCCCTCTCTGGGCCTTTAACAGCCTCATTTCTAAAAGAGGAACGGGACAAGACGATTTCTGTGGCTCCTTCCAACCCTCACATTCGAAGGCTCTATGTACCGAAAGTGAAATTGTGTGCCTGGCACATGGTCACACAAATAACCACACTGACAACAAAGGCCTATGCAGTGTTTGCAGAGTGAAGTGTAGCTGGCCCTCGGAGAAGGGAGAGTGTGGGGTGGGGGCTCGTGGGGACCTCAGTCGAGGGAACAGACATGGGTCCTGGTGACATCTCAACTTCTAGGAGGAGAGCCCAGCCCTCCCAGGCGGCCAAGACCTGCTTCCTGGAGCCACGTGAATATGAGAATTGATGGAAGACACAAATCCAGGCTTCCTGTGGACACCAGAAGCAAAAACCCACTGAAATGTTAACAGCACCGCTGTTCTTTCTCTACCTGGATCCTGGGGCAAGAAAACAGCATCCGAATAGTGACTGAAGGACACATAGCTCTCGGGCCCATCTATGAGTCCGTCATTGTGAGGGTTAAAGGTGATGTTGGTGAAGCCGGCCACACAAGCCCTGTAGGATGACAAGAAGGAAAGAGGCTGCTGAGACACGGCCACCACCCCAGGCACGTAGGGCTTTGCGCTCGGGAGGCTCAGCCCCAAAGGGCAAGAACCACCAGGCATTACCGATAGGAGCCCAGGGGTTCCAGCTTGCCGTTGTAATAGCCGTGCGTGGTCGACTCGTTTCCAACGTCAATTTCGTATTTCAAGACTTCAGACAAGTCCTGAGAACGTCTCTTTTCTTCTGTTGTTATGAGGTATGTCACGTAAGTATTTGAGGCCCCCTTTTTGAAATCTTCATATGTATATCTCAAAACATCTGCAGATGGGCGAACAGCTAAGAAAGACACACAGAAGGAAAGTCCTGAGAAAGGGATTCCAGACAAAGGTTTACGTCTCGCCCATGTCTACATAATGACATTGACACTGGGTGATAACGATGACAATGATGACAGAGCACAAGGGTGCTCTCGGTCCAGGCTTTACCTCTGTTGAGTTCTAACTGTTTGACTTACATAATCTCTCTGCACTAAACGATAGCAACTAACAAGAGTCTCATCACATATATTGACTAGTCCCATGAAGGCCGGGAAAGCTAGCAGGACCTGGGCCCAAGGCCACACCGCCCACACAGTGGGGTTGATTTCTAACCCAGACCATCAACTTGGAGCGTGTGGTCTCATCCACCACAGGCTGGTACTGGTCATTGTGGTCACTAGGAAATACTGCCTCCTTCATTCAGCGAAGGTATAAGCTTGGATGTTGCTGAAAACCTTTCCAACACAATGACTTGAAACAGACCCCAAACAAAAAGCCAGAGAGACTGAGAGATCTCAGCATTTGTTGCTGAAACTCTGCCGTGCGTTTATGACACCAGCAAAGTCCTTGTCTTTCAGGATCCCCACTCCCCTTGATCTCTACGTCCTCGAGGAGGTGAGGACAGTTATCATGGGCTGAGAGAACGGACAGAGGTGCCCCTGCATGATTCATATTTAAAGAATCAACAAAAACAACAGAACTGGGTCCTGAAAGCCCAGCCTTGTGCAAAGCACCCACACACAGCTAACAAAGACACCCTCTAGTCGTGCCCTCCTTCCCACCAAAGAACGTAAAGGAGCCCTGTCAGGAAAGGGGGCTTGGGGGCCTCGTCCACTCTCGGCTGTGAGGATGGCTCTTTGCAAGTTCCCACCACAAATGCAAATCACTTTCTGTTTTCCTTCAAGAGACCGCCCCCCTTTGAGTAGGGGGGGGGGGGGGGCGGGGTGTGGGTATGTGAGTGTGTGGGTGAGTGAGGGAAAGAGACAGAGTTGCTTAAGACTAATATTCTGCCACCTCGAGGACCCTGTGTTGTAAAAGAGAAGAAAAACCTAGATCAGAGGTCAGCAAGGTAGGATCCACAGGCCAAACCCAGCCAGCCACCCCTTCCGGTAGACAACATTTTATGGGAACAGCCGCACTCATTCTTCACACATCTTCCGCGGTGGCTCTTGTGCCACAACAGCAGAGTCAGGTGGCTCCAACAGAGACTGCATGGCCTGCAAAGCTTAAACTCTTTGCAATCCAGCTTTTTACAGAAGGTCTGTCAATCCTGACCTAGACCGTCGGGCAAATAGCTCACCCACCCGCTTCTCAGTGCCAAAGCGTGGGCTACAGTGTAAAAACAGACACGTATTTGTAGCTCTAATGTGCCTCAGTGGGCACAGGAATGGCACCCGGTCACGACACAGCTCACTGGCTGTTTAACCCGTAACTGACCCCTCCTTACCGTCCCCAGTGGTGAGAATGAGCGCATAAGCTTTGATGGGTCCGTGGCTGGCTTCAAACCCACTGAACTCAACTTTTACCGAATTGTGACTGATGGGTGTAATATTCGGGGATCCGTCTGGAGAAGGGGGATCTGAAACAGAACGAAACAAAACATGATCACCCACCATTTAAAATCAAAGAAGAGGGGTGCCTGGGTGGGTCAGTTGGTTAAGCATCTGACTTCGGCTCAGGTCATGAACTCGTGGTTCATGGGTTCGAGCCCCGCATCGGGCTCTGTGCTGACAGCCTGGAGCCTGCTTCGGATTCTGTGTCTCCCTCTCTCTCTGCCCCTCCCCTGTTTGTGCTCATTCTCGATCTCTCTCTATCTCTCTCTCTCTCTCTCTCTCTCAAAATAAGAAATATATTAAAAAAAAAAAAAGAAAAAGAACAAAATGATTAAGGAGGCATTTGCTACCATACCCTCAAGTCCTGCCCTTGCTGTGGGAGTGGTGTGCTGGGCTCATCCAGAGCAAGGGGCAGGGAAGGGCAGTGGAAGGCAGAGCTGGCAGATCCCCCAGCTCACAATGGCACCTGCAGCGTGCCCCGCCACATGCCTGGAGAAAGCTCCCAGCAAACTTGCTAGTTGAAAACAACCTCTCTCTCCTATGTTTCCCCAGCCCCTTCTGACCCAGAGGAGGCAGGTGCCGTACCTGAAAAGCAGGGCAGGAGGAGAGCGACAGATAAGAGGCCTGTGTGGCTGGAACTCAAGGAGGGAGCTGTCCGCAGCACCTGCCCACTGCGTGGACACGGCACCAGATGGCTTGGTCGCTGAGGACCATGATGGAACAGAACAGATACCCAGAGGGAAGCAAAGCTGCAATGGAGAGAAGGCACTTTCTCCTGAGACCTGGCTGTGTTCCTGTTCCACATCCTTCACACTGAAGTCCTCATTTTTGCCTGAGTTGGTTTAAAATGCCAACCAGAGAAACCCGACCGATCCTCTTCCTAGAAACCAGAAAAGCGCACACAGGAACGTCCCACGCGTGACCCTCATGATGATGTGCCTCCCCTTTCTGAGCTGAGCTTGTGAGGTCACCCTCCGGATGAACACAAAAGAAGAAAATGCTGAATTAAAGATGATCCTTCTACACACACACACACACACACACACACACACACACACCATACACACATGCACTCTACCTAAATTTGTCTCCCACGTACAGTTTGAGTGTTTTCATTAGTGTGTCAAGATTCCAGGAGGCTGAGAAAGCTGAACAAAAACACCACCGCGAGGCTCCCACACGTGCCGCTGGCCAGCACGGCAGCCGCCAGCCACCCGGAACAGCTGAGCTCCGAAAATATGACCAGCCCAAACTCGGATGAGCCGCACACACGAAACACGGACTGGACGTCAAAGACTTAGCACGAAAAAAGAATGCAAAGTCTCTCATCAGTAATCGACTTCACACAGACCACACAAATTACTTCACCCAGTGAAACGATAATGTTTTCAACATAGTTCAATAAAATGTGATTGAAATCAATGCCAGCTGTTCCTTCTTACCTTTTTTAACGCAGCTCCTAAAAAAGGTTAAATTCTGCAGGAGACTCACATTTTCTACCGGGCCGTGCAGCTCCGAACCAGGCTTCGGCAACCACTCAAGTAACTGACAGCAGTGACCGCTTGGAGGCGCCGTTCCCAGGTCTAATCGTCAACCGCCTGGCCAGACTTCCTAACACAGGCTCCCAGGATTCCCCCCAGCGCTCTGCCTTTGAGCTGCCCAGAGAGGACTAGACTGTGGGTGGCAGGCTAACTCATCTACCTGCAAGACTGGAAACGCTTTCCCTCTCTCTGCTTATGTGAATCCTATGCTCCAGGGGCCCCGTCTGCCTTACTCACTGGTGTCCCTTAACCCCAGGCACACACGGTGCAACTAACAAATGTTGCTTAAAAGACCATCACTTCAATTCCCCCAGATTTACCCATCCCACCAACGCTTCCTACCTCTCCTGGGGAAATTGCAGCTCCGCTCTTCCAGTAAATAAAAGACGTGTTAAATTTGTATATGAAAATTCATCTGAGGAAAGGGAGAGCTACAGAATAAAAAGTAAGAGAATCCCTGGACTAAGTAAGTGGTCATTATCCAACCCTACCATACTGTTCAGGCTCAGAAACTACTTCTGACAAGTTCCTTCTCTTCACCAGGCACTGAGCGTAGCCCTAGAGATACCAAATCAGATGTGGCTGATGTTCCTCAGCAGCTCAAGAGATGACGTGATAAAAGAGAACTACAAAAAGGTTCATTATTTCCATTATGTTCTAGAGTGCTGCAGAAACCCAAAGGAGTGTGACCCAGGGCCACCCTCTACAGTGTGGACTACACAACTCCAAGGAGCCCTGTGCACACTGTAGTCCATATGAATGGTATCCCCTGGAATTGTGTGCTGCACAACCTGAGCAGCCATACATGGCCGCTGTCAAGTGGCCTTCCATACAAATTACCTCATCTAATTTGTTTAACAGTCCTGAAAGCTAGTCTTACTTCCCCTTTTTATAATGAAGAAAAACAAGGCTCATAGGGGTTACGCAGCTTCTCTGAGATCGCACAGCTAGTACAAGGCAGAACTTAGAATCAAACCCAGGTTGGCCTGTCTAAATCCAACACTCTGTCCACAGAACCCCTCCACCACTTTTCAAGTCAGTGTCCCTGTAATAAGAGGCCTTTTTCTCTTACTATGTCAACCACGAATTCTTTGGAAATTGTCCGGAAACATTCTGATACCCTAAAGGAAACACATCCAGGGGTTGAAAAGCACAAAGCAAAACCAACCCGCCAGGCTGATCTAAGACATAACATTGGCAAAGACATGGCGAGCAAGACAGATAAAAACGAAGCAAAGATATAAGAAGCAACTTTCTTCCAAAGAAATAAGAACGATGAGCCTGAAAAGTCTGACTAGGGGGAATCCCCTGTGCAGTGAGTGACCCCCCACTCTCCAAACAGCCAGAGAGCTTATCAATATGGATTCCAGGGAAATAAGAATCTTGACCGAATATATGATAATAGTGAATAAAAGTACCGTTCAATTTTTCAGTGCGATGGTAACGGCAATATGGTTATGTCTGAAAGAAAGGGGAAAGGAGCCCCTATCTTGGAGAAATACTTCTTAAAGTATTTATAAATAAAATTATAGAATGATGAGGACTGGTTTCAAAGTAATCCAATCAGGGAGGAGGGGGGTATAAATGAAAGAAGACTGGTCAAACTCCGACAAATATTTAACTGGGCGATGATGGCTATGTGGGTTTCTTTATGCTTGCCTCTACTTCTGTGTACATTTGAATATTTCTATGAAAATGCTTTTCTCATGTAATATAATAAAGGAACTCACTCCCTAAAAGAAAATGTGGCAGCGAATTATTCTGTAAAGCAAAGGAAACTTTCGGGATTAAAAATGAGTCTCTCTTACCCTGCTCTTCAAGACTTGATTTCTACAGATTTGGGTTAACGGTCTATGCCAGCAGAAACAAATATTTTAGGGGCGCCTGGGTGGCTCAGTCGGTGAAGTGCCCGACTCTTGGTTTCAACTCAGGTCACGATCTCATGGTTTCGTGGATTCGAGCCCTATGTCTGGCTCTGTACTGGTGGGGCGGAGCCTACTTAGGATTCTCTCTCTCCCCCTCTCTGCTTGCCCCTCCCCCTCTCATTCTGTCTCTGTCTCTCAAAATAAATAAATAAAGTTAAAAATATATATATATTTTAGCAGAAATTTCAAAAGAAATACGGATTTCTAGGCCACACGTGCAGACCCGCTGGGTCAGCGTTCTCCAGGGGTGGACCACAAAGCCCACCTGTGATGCCAGTGAGGCAGGTGTTTTGGGTGGGAGGTGCCGTCTTGTTACAGGACAAGGCAGTGATGCTGATGTTGTAGGAGGTAGAAAAATTCAAATATGTGACATTCGTCCAGTACTCTGTGCCGTTCTCCGAGGAGCAGCTCTCCAGGTCTGTCACATTTTTCCAAGCCCCTCTGCTGATCTCCAGCCCGAAGCCTGTGTTGGTGCCGGGAGGGCAGGCCCACTTGAGAATCAAGGTTGGCTCTTTGGGGACCACCTCGCAGCGGAAGGAGGCTACTGGTGCAGGATCTGCAAGGGAAGCACAGCACATCATCAGAGTCCGGGACGGGTGCCTTTGCAAACACCGGCACTTAGAGGACAGTCGAATCCCGGCTCATCTGTGATGAGGAGACAGCCGTGCAGAATGGTAGAGGACGCAGAGGCTGACGTTGAACCAGGCATTACTGAACTGTGTGACCCTGGGCCGGTTACCCAACCGAGCCTCAGCAGCAGGACTGTATGAGGATTCTGTGAAAGTGGCTGTCAATCACCACCCTGGAAGAGAACGGGGCTCTGCGAGAGCTAGCGATATCATAACAGTATGGAGGCAGCAACTCCTTCATTCTGGGGCCCTCCTGACAATCCTTCTGGAAGAGGTAGGGTTAATACTGCCCCACTCTGCCGATGAATCAACTGAGGCTTCGAGAGGTTGCGTAAGTTGCTGAAGATGACCTGGTTGCTAGGCAACAAAGCCAAAACTGGACCCTGGGTTTCCTGAATCCAAGTCCAGGGCATTTTGTATACACACAACATGTGGAATAATCAATAGTAAATGGGATCAGTTTCTTCATCTTTCAAATGGTGTGTTGTCTGTCTCTACCTGTCTGAGGACCAATAGAGTTTTGTTGACGGCCGACCCTAAACTGCTGTAAATAGAGAGCTCTGTACTAAGGTGCTGGGGGCAGAATACTATCACTGCTTCAGTGCTGCAGTATTTTAAGGCAGGAAAAGCATTAATGAACCACCCATTAACAGCTCCCACATGCTCCACCAGAGGCCTGGGAAAGTAACCCGCCCAACACACCGCTACCCCCACAGCCCCTGTTCCAGCCACCCCCAGGCATAAAGCTCGTATGTATTTTTCTCTTGCTCTAGACTGCAATAATTACAGCGAGGGTAAGTCTCGGCAGCAGAAGCCACCCAAATCCCAAAGATCAGCTTCTAGACCAGGTGGACGGGGCCCGAGGAGCAGGGGTGACTCGGAGCTACAGGGATTTCTTTAGCAGCTCCACCTGAAAGGTCAGAGGTCATCAAAGTGCCAGCTCCTACGCTACCAGGGAGGCTGATCCGATGACAGCCCTCGGCTTCCAAATCGGCCTGAACACACCTGAGCAGCTTGGTCTAAGCAAGGAAAGAGGTAGGTACAAAGAGGGGGAAGAATAAGGTGGTGCACGGGCGCCGGGGTGACAAAGGTGCCCCCATCAGACCCGTGAGCCCAAGTACTCACAGCCATCTGTAGGACACTCCCTGGGTTGCTCTCTGAAAGCTCCTTAGGTTAAACACAGGGCTACCTTTCTCTTTATAGCACTTTTTACACTGAGAGATAAGGACTGAGAAAGGCAAAAAGGCTGAGCATCCATTTTAACAATATCCTTTTCAATCTTCTTCAGTGGGAAAGCCAAATCATGAACCACAAGCCTGAATGGCATCCCTCTCCTAGCCCGTCACCTCCCGGGGCCGCACCACCTACCCATCACCCTCTTGCTCCCATTGGTCCACTCCTGCCATCCTGGCCTCCTGCTCTTCCTTCAACACAGCAGGCATACTCCAGCCTCAGGGCCTTTGCACTGGCCTTTCCTCTGCCTATGATGCTCTACACCCTGACAGCCATCTGGCCGGCTCCTTCACTTCCTTCAGGTCTCTGCTCAACAGTCACTTTTTCACTGAGGCCTTCCCAGGGCATCCTACATAAACATCTCCTCTCCCCCTTCTCTGTTCTTTTCCCTCTCCCTAGCAGTAATCATCATCTAATGACTTATTATCTGTCTGTCTTCTCCACCAGAATCGAAGTTCCAGGAAGGCAGAGACTTGGGGGTGTCACTTAACAGCGCCTGGCGTATAGTAAGTGTTGCATAAATATCTGCTGGATGAATAAATGAGGAGGACAAGACAGCCCTACTAAGCTAATGGGCTTTCTGGGAGAGTCCAGGGTCTGTTACCACACACGACCCGAAACCTAATAAACTAAAGCCTGCAGAGGACCCACCTGCAAGGTCAGCACCACACAGGAAAGAGTGCAGGAGGCACCTGAGGCTACTCACCTGTACAGAATGACTGCCTGCCAGATGCCAGTGGCATGGTGACATTTCCCACTTGGGTGAAGATCTCCACTGTGTATGACGAGCCAGGTATTAACTCAGTGACGGTAGCATAGGTGACGCCAATGTCTGTGACTAGTTGTGTTGGTTGGCTGAAATTTCCATCCTTCCCAATATAAAGGTGGTAGGTATACCTGGGAGAAGCTTCATCAAAGTTCTGCCAATTTAAGGTTGCTTCTGTGGTGCTGGTATTTACTTCAATGTTGGCTACATTGCTGGGCCCTTAGTTTAAAAAAAAAAAAAAAAGGCACGGATAAGCCTTGAATTCCAGGACTATTTTATTTACTGCATCTAAAAACAGCCTGGCTCCTGGGTGTCTGGGTAGCTCAGTCGGTTAAGTGTTCGACTTTGGCTCAGGTCAGGATATCACGGTTCGTGGGTTCAAGCCCCACGTCGGGCTCTGTGCTGACAACTTGGAGCCTGGACCCTGCTTCAGATTCTGTGTCTCCCTCTCTCTCTGCCCCTCCCCCACTTGTGCTTGCTCTCTCTCTCTCTCTCTCTCTCTAAAATAAACAATAAAAAAAAAATTTTTTTAACAATTAAAAACAGCCTGGCTCCTTTGAGGAAAGAATAAATAAAGCTAACATTTGCTGACTCAAAATACACAAGGCTTCCCAAAAAGACATTCAGAAAATAATTATACAGATTAAATCTCAAAAGAATTCATTTTCCAGGCTTCTTTTTTAAGTTTATCTGAAATACATTTTCCAGATATAATTTCCTATCTGTTTTGGAAATCTGATTAATGAAAGAGAAAATATATGCGAAAAAGATAATACAAACTACCATCTATCTGTACCATATAGTTAGATCAAACATTAGCAAGACGCCTTCCTTACTACTCTGCAAGCAAAGCTCCCCATTTGAGCAGTATCTTCTAATGTCACCAAGACAAGGTGACTCTCCTCTAGTCCGTATTCCCAAGGAATGAATGGAATAATTATGTTGTCCAAGTTTATCGGATCTTTCTGCTTCTAAGGACAATTCCTTAGAAGCTCAGCACCAATGCCCCAAGAGAACACCAGAACCTTTGCGGAGGCCAATGTTTTCAGCTTAAGCAGCTTCAGATTCTACCTGGAGCCCCGAGACACAATGGCCACTTACTTCACCGTGTAACCAATGCTTGCTTCCCACCCTCCAGGAGAATCAGAAAGAACACCACTTACCAGGGTGTCCTTAAGAGACTTACATGTGTACTGTGCCGTGGAGCTGGGCTCCCCCTGGATGTGGTTCACCTCTGGAAAGATCGTGATGTTATATAAGGTGCCTGGAACCAAACCCCTGAGAGTGATCTCTTTGCGAGAAGTGTTTATCTTGTCAGAGCCGCGCTCGGACTGTATAACTAGGTGGTAGGTGTATTCGGAAGCATTGTCCGTACTCTGCCACTCCAACTCCATCCCGGTTGTGGTGACGTGGAACACGCGGATGTCAAAGACGGCACTGGGATCTGGTGGGAGGAAAGGAGGTACAAAGGAAGTGCCAAGGACCATCTTAACACCCAGCTTTATTGCAAAGTGTCCAGAGAACTTGCTCTTTTGCCAGCAAAGTCTCAGACGAGTTCACAGAGGGCAAACTCCAAAGCAAGCGAGAAACACGCACACTCCTGTCTTTAGAGAATTTTGGCTCTTCCGTGACACAGATGAGCAAGCTTACCAATCTGTCCTGTGGGTTCTCTGGTCTTTCGCTTTTGTCATAAAAACGCCCCCTTTGGGGGTCTTCTGGGGTGGAGGTCTTATTCAGATTCCTGATCTGAGTGCTGATGACCAGATGGGTTCAGTTGGTGAAAATGCATCAGACTATGCACTTACGACGTGTGTGTTTTCAATATGTATATTACAGCTCAATAAATAGTTTGGTGTGTGTGGGGGTGTGTATGTGTGTGTGGGTGGGTGGGCGTGTGTGTTTAATCTAACTCCCTGAAAAGAAAACGTTTTCCTGTAACACAGGCATATACCAAAACGAAAAACTGAAATGGACAGCTGACGTTTGCTAGGTTGAGAGTATTCAAGGCCAGGGTGGAGAAGGGAAAACACACGTACACACACACCCCAACCACCCTCCCAGCTGGGGTCAGAAGAGAACTCTCCCACAGGGGTACTCGGGGTACCCTGCTCCCCCGCATCTCACCTCTACACACCGAACCAGCTGTAATGTGCATGCACAGATCGAGGCCCAGAAATAACCATATAAGCTACTACTTTTCTGCCCTTGCTTTCAAAACATTTCTCTTTACCTGGGAACCCAAGTCCCCTCTCGTGAGAGGAACTGAGTGATGGGACAAAGGAGGGAAATATTTTCACTGTAAAACCCTGTGTGTGTGTGTGTGTGTGTGTGTGTGTGTGCATGTGTGTGTGTGTGTGTTTTACATGCATGTACCACACACATGTACTCTCTTCCAAAAAACAATTTTTTTTTAAGTGGCTCCTCTGTAAAGGTAGGGAGCTTTGAGAGTCTTCTTTCCCTACCACCAGATTCCTGATGTCACAGGGATTCCACAGACAAAAGACCATAAAAGGACGCCATTATCTGGGTGGCTCAGTCAGTTGAGCATCCAAATCTTGATCAGGTTCAGGTCGTGATCTCAGGGTTCAAGGGTTCAAGCCCCGCGTCAGGCTCCATGCTTGCCACATGGAGCCTGCTTGAGATTCTCTACCCCTCCCACATGCATTCTCTCTCTCTCTCTCTTTCTCTCTCTCTCTCTCAAAATAAACTTCAAAAAAAGAAAAAAGTACATTATTATCTATAAACATAAAAAAAAAATAGAAATAACCTAAATATTCCATAAAAAGAGAAGGGCTCTATAAACTGTGATCTGGCTATATAATGAAACATCCTGCAGCCACTAAAAACATAAAGACCATACATACTATGGGAGGGAGGCTACAATATACACTGAGTTAAAAAAAAATAGTTGAAATACAAAATACAATTATTTGTATAATAATTACAACGATGTAAACAAAACCTATGACTGTGGACACAGATGTGAAAGGAATTCAGTGGGGTTAGAAGGCAGAGTTCTTCTTGTTTCCCTTCCTTTCTATGGTGGTAAAATATCCATGTCTATAATTTTAACCATTTGTAAATGTACAACTCAGAGGCATTAAATACATTCACAATTTTGTGACACTATCATCACTATCTATACCCAAAATATTTCATCACCCCCAACACAGACTCTGTTCCACTTAAGCAGCAACTCCCCACACTTCCCTCCCTGGTAGCCTCTGTTCTCCTTTGGTCGCTATGAACTTGCCTATTCTAAGAACCTCAGGTAAGTAGAATCATACAATATTTGTCCTTCTGTGTCTAGCTTCTTTCACGTAGCATAATGTTTTGAGGTTCATCCATGCAGTGGGTATCAGAATTTCATTCATTTTTATGGCTGAATAATATTCTATTGTGTGGATATACCACGTTTTGTCTATCCACTGCTCTCTGGACACTTGACTGTTCTACTCTTGGCTGATGTAAATCGTGCTACCATGAACACTGGTATACAGATAACTGATCGAGTCTCTGCTTTCAATCCTTTGGGAAATATAAATATCATATAAATACATATACATACATATACACATATAAACATATGTATACAAACATACACACACACACACACACGTAGAATTGGAACTGCTGAATCATATAGCATTTGTTTCCTTTCCTCAAAATTGCCTTTAATGCTGTTATACTGACTTTAATAATAATGGAAGTTGTTCAACCATAGAATGATAATCCCCGAAGAGATTAGTGCCTTATCACAACTCTTCATGATTCCCATTCAATGGGACTCAATTAGAGGTTACAGTACAAGAGATGTAACTTCTCCTCAACGAATAGGCCTAAATTGCTTTGCAGCTGACCATCAGTCCATACTCTGCTTGAGACCTCATTCTTCAAAGCCAGAGGTCAGTTCACTCCTTTGTCACTCTGGGCCCAGTTATAAAGCTCACAGAACTCCCATTTCCTGCTCTGGAAAACAGAGATGCTAACAGTGCCTACCTCGTGAAGTTATGACAAAAATTTTTAAATAAAAGATGAGAGCCCAGCACTTTGTAGACCCCCAATATATTAAGCTATTATCACATTAAGTTCTGGGCATTGGCAAGTCACACAATATCAAGTGTCCCCCACCACGGTAATCCTCATGGTAGCAACATTCTCAAAAGAAAAACAGAAATATACGTTGACGTTAAGATGCCATTGCAACAGTCTAATCTAAAATTCAGACTTGAGGGGCGCCTGGGTGGCTCAGTCAGCAAAGCATCTGACTTCAGCTCAAGTCATGACCTCAGAGTTCATGGGTTCAAGCCCCGCATCAAGCTCTGTGCTGACAGCTCAGAGCCCGGAGCCTGCTTCAGATTCTGTGTCTCCCTCTCTCTCTGCCCTTCCACCACTCATGCTCTGTCTCTCTCAAAGATAAATAAACATTAAAAACATTTTTTTAATAAAAAAATAAAATTCAGACTTGAAATGGAATTACTGCATTTCATCTAAGGAATGTACTTTAGCAGTCCGTTATTTTGGAAACAAACCTTGCAAGGAACTATCAATGCCTTCACCCAACCAACAGAGTTGAAGAAACCTACACAAGGAGAATCTCAAAAGCCCAAATGATTTCATGTGTGCCTAAAGGAATTAGGCCTCATTTTTTTATTCTTCCCTTCTATATAAAAGATTAATTCTCTTGCAATCAAAGCTCAAGGAATAGTGTATGTTTTCCAAGCTTTCCCAAAAAACGTGTTTCAAATTTTAAAAACAACAGTAATGAACATTAAATTGTTTTGATGAAATAATTTTATCAAGATCACTTAGCCTCAAAGAATAATGCTGTTTATGAAAGACTGTATATAATCTACAATCTACTTTTCCAACAATAGGGGAGTACTTGAATAATTTACAATACATCCATATCATTGGTTCTTAAACTTTTGAATCTCAGGACCCCTTTACCTCCTTAAGAGAGAATTTTTATTTATGTAGGCTATATTTATATTTACTGTATTAGAAATAAAAAATGAAGGGGCGTCTGGGTGGCTCAGTTGGTTAAGCTTCCGACTTGGGCTCAGGTCATGATCTCACGGTTCATGAGTTGGAGCCCCACATCTAGCTCAGAGCCTAGAGCCTACTTCGGATTCTGTGTCTCCATCCCTCTCTGCCCCTCCCCTGCTCATGCTTGCTCGCTCGCTCGCTCTCTCTCTCTCTCTCTCAAAAGTAAATAAACACCAAAAAAATTTTTTAAAGAAATAAAAAATGAAGAGTTTTTAAAACATGAGAATACACAAGCATACATTCCATTAGCCATCAGAGTGACGATGTCATTCCTTGTCATATAGCATCTGGAAAGCTCCATTATACACTCATCATGAGAGAATAAGATTAAAAAAGCCAAATAACACTTTAGAAGCAGTATGATAATAATAATAACAACTCATCAACTCCTTGAAAGAATCTAGGGGACCCTCAGAGATCCCTGGATCACACTTTGGGTAACAATGATCTAGCCCACAAGTCAACTAAGTTTTCCTTTAAGGGACACAGAATAAATATTTTACATATTGTGGGCCATATATTTTCTATTGCAACTGCTCATTTCTAGCACAAAAGCAGTTATAGATAGTATATAAACACATAAGCATGGTTGTGTTCTAATAAAACTTTATTTATGAAAACAGGCAATGGCCAGATGTGGCCCATAGGCCATTATTATCTGTTGACCCGATTTAGACAATGGAATGCCAGGAAGATATTAAAATTATCCTGTAGAAATATTTATACTGGCAGGGAAGAACACTCATAATAAGCTGATATGTGGTAAGAAGCAGATTATAAAACCACATGAATAGGATGACTTCAATGTTTGTAAAAGAAAAAATATATAGGGGTGCCTGAGTGGCTCAGTCAGTTGAGCATCTGACTCTTGATTTCGGCTCAGGTCATTATCTCATGATTCATGTGATGGAACCCCACAACTTCTCTCTCCCTCTGCCCCTTCCCCACTCCAAATAAATAAATAAATAAATAAATAAATAAATAAAATACAGGCACATATTTAAAATTAGAAAAGTTATCATTGATTGTCTCATACATCAAAAATATGCCAAAAGTTACCAGTGATTATTTCTGGTTGATAGTTTACTATGTGATTTTCTTTTGCTTGTCTATGTATTTTACATAATGAATATGCATTACTGTCATTATAAATGTTTTTTAAGATTTTCATTAGATAATTAAAAGCAGTATTTGGAAAACCTGGCATTATAAATTATACTGATTTCCTTTAAGAAACACCACTGTTTTACAGAAAACACAGCCTATTTGCTTACCAGTTCTATTGTAAACCGTCTGGGACTCCCCTTCAGTCCCATTTGGTCCTTGTGGAAATATTTCAAAACGATACTTGGTTCCAGGGTATAAGCCACCGATGACAATACTTTGGTTTTGGGTGGCTGTTTCCAGCGGAGATTTTCCAGCTCCTTCCTCTGTGGTAAGTATCTTGAAGAAATCTGCGTCATTGCTGCTCCAAGCTAAGCCAATTTCCCTTGTGCTGACACTCGTCACTCGAAAGTCGGAAACTGGACGGGGGGCTGTGGGAAGAGAGTAAACAACTAGATTTAGAGCCTGGTTCTACAGAAGACAGGGTGACTGAACCTCACAAAATATTTACACTGAGATTATATGCACACTTGGGACATCCGACCTTTCTCTCTTCTTTGTATTATCACCTACAATGCCCTTAGCAACTGGTATTTTTGGCTACTGAGAAAACAGTTGGCTACAAGAGCATAGAAACTGCATGCTTAGGTTGTACAAAGTCATTCACTGGAAATGAGAGGAGGGGTGAACCCACGTGGGCACGAGCTAACACTCTGGGGTAGGACCTTGGCTGCTGCTGGCTGCTTTATCTCAAATATATATTATTAGGCCTCCCAGAACCTCTGTTTAGAAACATGCAGTAGAGGCTGCTGTTGACCCCTAAAACCCATTCCTTACCTGGCTTTTCCCTTAGTCATACAACCCCAGATTTTTAGCTGTGTACCTGGCTGTCGGAAGTAAAGACTATATTTCCCAGCCTCCTTTGCTGCTAGATTAGCCGTGTGGCTGAGCTCTGGTCAATAGGATGTGAGCAGAAGTACCGTATGACTTTTAGGAAGTATCATGAACGCATGGAGCGCTACCTTCTGCCCTTCCTCCTCCTTGTAGCTGGAATGTAGATGCAATACCCAGAGTTCAGGCCGCCTAGCTCCAGAACGGGTACGGTGGCTGTGGTGGCACCTATGGCTTCCTGATCCCCGGATTACAGCTCAGAACATATATTTCTGGAGCCAACACGTACAGTGGGGGTTGCAGACTGTGACAAAACCGCACCCCTTAGTGTGGGAGCCATTCCTGGGTCCCAGCCTAAAGCCTGCTCCCCCAGCTGTTAAGAGTTGAAGCGCGTCCCCTCAAAATTCATATGTTGGAGCTCTAACACCCAGTACCTCAGAAGGTGGTATATTTGGAGACAGGGCCTTTAAAGAGGTGATTACGGTAAAACAAGGTCATTAGAGTAGGTCCTAATCCAGTATATGACTGGTGTCCTGGTAAGAAGAGGAGATTAGGACACAGTCATGCACAGACCAAAGGACAACCACGCAAAGACACGGGGAGAAGACAGCCACCTTCCAGCCAAGGAGAGAGGCCTCAGAGGAACCCAACCGTTCATCACCTTGATCTCAAACTTCTTGTCTCCAGAACTGTGAGAAAATAAATTTCTGTTGTTTAAGCTCTGCAGTCTGTGGTACTTATAACAGCCGCCCTGGCAAAATAACACACCAGCCCTCCCAGTCACTCTGCAAACCCTCGGCTCCCAGGATCGAGTTCCTTTGGGCTGAAAAAAGCTCGTAAAAAGCTTCTGTTTCCTGCCACGGAGCCCTGGCTAACACTCCTCCATCCCGTCCTGCCTAGCACTGGTGCTGCTTCTACAAGGACAAAGAAACAAACTCCTGTTTTGTTTACGCCGTGCATACTTGGGAAGTTTTTTTGTTACTCACAGCCAAACCTAATCTGAACTAATAAAGGGACTGAAGAGTAAAAGTGTAGAAGGTGAGGAAGGGAAACCAGATTCCACTTACCCCAAAGAGCCAGTCCAGAAGACATTTGTAAAGGTGCCTAAGGTGCGCTTCCTAGCAAACAACAGACACCCAAGTGAAGCATTCTGTGAAACGAGCCCTGGGTCCAGAGCCAGGCATCCCTGGGACCCACGTCTCTGCTCTGCCACTTTGCGCCCTTAGGCAAATCATTCGGCTGGGTGGGGCTGCAGCCTCCTTATTTGTCAAACAGGGATCCTAATACCTACCATGGAGGCCATCGCAATACCCATAAAGCGCCTGGTAAGGTACGATACTGATACTGTTATACTATGTACTACTGGTATACCATTATTGCTTTACTTTAATTCTCGGACCTTCTTTGGAACAGAAAGCATCTTTTTTTAATGTTTATTTTTGAGAGACAGAGACAGAGAGAGAGCGCGCGCGCAAGTGGGGGAGGGGCAGAGAGACAGGAAGGCATAGAATCCAAAGCAGGCTCCAGGCTCGGCACAAACCCCAGTGCAGGGCTCGAACCCACGAACTGTGAGATCATAACCTGAGCCGAAGTCAGACACTTAACTGACCGAGCCACCCAGGTGCCCTGGAACAGGAAGCTTTTTATTTGCTGCCTGTCATCTTCTCTTTAAAGCACAGGTAAGCAGGGGCGCCTGGGTGGCGCAGTCGGTTAAGCGTCCGACTTCAGCCAGGTCACGATCTCGCGGTCCGTGAGTTCGAGCCCCGTGTCGGGCTCTGGGCTGATGGCTCAGAGCCTGGAGCCTGTTTCCGATTCTGTGTCTCCCTCTCTCTCTGCCCCTCGCCCGTTCATGCTCTGTCTCTCTCTGTCCCAAAAATAAATAAACGTTGAAAAAAAAATTTAAAAAAAATAAATAAATAAAATAAAGCACAGGTAAGCAAAGAAAGGGTGAGATACATCTGTGCCCTGCTTCATTATAATGTCAGTATCCAAAAGACAGAGGGACGTGAATAACCAGGTTCTTTTTGTCTCCGTGCATCATTTTGCCTCTACCATGCTAGAATGAATGGTCATTACAAGCACAGGCTGGAGTCAGCCCAGCTGTTGAATCCTACCTCTGCTATGTGTGTAACACCTCCCTACAGCACCTCTCTCAGCCACGGCTCCCTGATTCATAAAATAAGGCTAATTCCAACCATGTCACAGGTCTGTGAACACTACATAAGACAGTGCAAGGAGGGGCTCCTGGGCGGCTCAGTCGGTTCAGGGACCAACTCTTGATTTAGGCTCAGGTCATGATCTCATGGTTCATGGGATCAAGCCCTACATTGGGCTCTGCGCTGACAGCGTGGAGCCTGTTTGGGATTCTTTCTCCCCCCTCTTTCTGTTCTTCCCGCACTCACATGCTCGCTTTCTCTCTTTCTCTCTCTCTCTCTCTCTCTCTCTCACACACACACACACACACACACACACACACACACAAAATAAAATTTAGAAGTGTAAAAAAGTAAAATAAAAAGAAGACAGTGCCAGGAAAGCATGTACACCATGTTCAGCACGTGGGGTGGGTCAGTCAACGATCATCGTTACAACGGCGCACATCCGGAAGGAGGTTAGAGTCCCTGTGGGCTCACACACTGAGCTGTGTTTTCCTCGAGGGTAGGGACAAAGCTTTGTCTCGTACCTGGGCCTGGCACAGAGCAGGCAGGTGAGAGAGGTCAGCAAAACAATGAGTGAACTCACGGGTGTACACTTGGAGAAAACCCGGCACGCCCTTGGAACTGTTGCCAAGGAAAGGATGCACCGTGATGTTGTACAAGGTACTCGAGTTGAGCGAAGTAATGACGACCTGAGTCTCATTGACATGGAGGGTGAAGGAATCCGTCTCCCCAGTGACTTGTATCTTGTAGGTATAGACAGAGGACGACTCGTTATCATTGATTTTCCAGGTCAGGGTCATGTTTGTTGCGTTGATGTCCACAACTTCAACGTCAAACACTTGACTGGCGACTGTGAAGACAGAAGAGGCGTTAACAGTAACCAGAATGGCCAAGCCAGAGAGAGAGACAGAGACAAACCATCATCAGGACCTGTCATCCATTATAAGAAAGATTCTCAGCAATCATGCCTTCCTCTCCTACACATTTTTACCACAACATACATCAATGTATGGGGGTCCCAGCAAGTGTCAGACATCATCTTCAGTGAAGAGACAACCTGGCCAATTGCAACTGCATAGCTACCGCTTTGTTCTTCTTGTGAGTTTACTCTTAGAGATATGACAGGCTCTTCAAACAACAACATGGACTCTACTCATGCCCTGCTCAGGTCCTGGGGTGACCCAGAAACACTCTCAAGCATATATGCTTCCAGAATGAACTATACAGGACCCATTAAAGATTACACACTTTAGCGCAAGGCAGGTCCGGGTTCCAAGGTTAGTTCTGCATTAATGGCCAGGTAGTTCTGAGGAAAATCATGTGAGCTCAGTCTCCTCATCTGCAAAATGGGGGTAATATTCCTAACCTCGAGAAAAGATAACACAGAGCTCTAATAATCTGCCACTGGCCCATCCTACCCTCTCAATCCATGCTGTCCGTCCCCTGCCTGCTCTGTGCCCTGGAAGGCTGACCCCTACATGCTGCATCACTGCGACTGGCAGGAAGGAGGGGCCCTACCAGAGGCCCTGGGACTGGGTTCCACCTGCAAGCAATGTGAGCAGGCGACCTGGAAGCAGAGGAGTAAGCAGTGAAGTGTTTCTCCCACAGGCCTCTGCTCGGGCTACCTGTTCTGACAAGGCTGCCTCTTCCACTGCCCCAGCCCCCACCAGGTTCCAGAAGCACCCCTTCTTCCCCTTGCTCATCAGCCTTAGAGGTGACTTCCTACCATGACTAATCTCAGGTGTCTCAACATGCTCTGATGATTTCCTTAACGCCATCCCACCTAACGAGATGCTTGAAAAATGCTTTGTGTGAGACATGTATTGTGTGCATGTATATACATCTAGATATGCACATATATACACACACATGCCACACAGAGAGGGTTAAAGTTACTATGATTATTACTTATCAAGTGCTAGGACAGTTCACACAAACCAGGCCATGTGTATCCATATATCTGAGAGCCTAAGATGCAATCACTATTTTTTTTAATGTTTATTTATTTTTGAGAGAGAGAGACACAGCGTGAGCAGGGGAGGGGTAGAGAGAGAGGGAGACACAGAAACTGAAGCAAGCTCCAGGCTCCAAGCTGTCAGCACAGAACCCGATGCAGGACTCGAACTCAGGAACCACAAGATCATGACCTGAGCCAAAGTCAGATGCTTAACCGACTGAGCCACCCAGGTGCCCCTGCAATCACTATTTAATTCTGTTCAGACAGCTTTAAAGCAGGGAACCCGAGGCCCACGCTAACCCACAAGACCCCTTTTAGCAAGTCAGGCAAAGGGCTCATCCTCTGGATGGAGCCAGCCCTGGGGTACATTGCTCAGCGAGGAGCCCATTCACCCTCTTGCACAAGCATCTTGTGTGTAGGATGGCCCCACCGCTGTCAAAGGCACCCCTGGAGGGCCCCTTCTTCCTCCTCCTCCTGCCCCACCCTCTAGACACCGAGCCCTCCCACCTGCCAACCTGCTGGGTCACTGAGGGTCCCCAGAAGCCAAGCGGCCTTTCCTATAGCTACATCCTCCCCTCCTCACCCACACACTGGCATCACCGGTAGAACGGGAAAGAAAGGAGGGCACAAGTGGACCCTCCTTCAAGGTGGACACAGGGAAAAGCAGTAATTCTTTACAGACACAACCTGTCATAGGCGTCCTGCCCAGACTGTCCAGCCCCTGCAAGTGACATGGCCAGGCTAGTAACTGCCTCTGACAGAGACACCCAACTCACGAGCATACGATCACAACTCTCTAGGAACGAAGTCGACCCCTCCAGAATTACCAGGGTCCTCGAGCTGTCACCCACTCCTCGCACCTCTCTACCTTCGTGCCTCGGGGTCCACCACCTGCACTTTCACTCATAATGTTTCCTCAGTGGACATGTCTTCCTCCCTCTCTCCCTTTATCCAAATCCTAGTCTCTCTTCAAAGCAAGTTCAAATCCTGCCTGTAGAAGAGGCCTTCCCTCGGGATTTGATGCTAAGATCGTGCTCCAGCCTTCCACTGTCTAGAGCACTCAGGGGGCAGCTGCAGTGGACGGTGGCCACGTGTCACCTGTGCGGCACCCAACAGCACCAAATCCCCCCTGGGGGGAGGAAGTGCTCATCATCCACGTAGAAGCCGGAGGACCACACTCCCTTCCCCAACGCAGCCATCCAGAAATCACGAACGTGACAGCGTCTCCATCTTGGGACTCGGACTCCTGAGGGTGTTACCAGGTACCAGCTAGTAACCAGGTGTTACTAGCCTCCCAGAGTTTCCTGGATCCTAGTCTTATTTTCTGCCCTGTATCCCCCAGCCCGTACCCCTTCTCCCTCCATTCTATGGGTCTCCGACAGCCTTTGAGAACAGATATATTTTTGGGTCAGGTAACCAGAGTGGGAGTTCGTGTTGCCTCAACCAAGTCCCTGAGGGTGACACTGGTGCAGCATTTATTCCTGAGCCCAGGGGGCCTGACCATGGACTTGTCAATGCGTGGATGTCTCTCTCGACTCCCCATCTATCTTGAACTCCCCTTAGGAAGGAACCATGCATTTCTTTGCCCCCTCGTCAGCACCAATCCGACACACCTCCAAATATTGGTCAGTTGACAGAGCGGAAATACCATTAAATTATAGGTAGGAAGAGCAATGCACATATCAACAAGCTTCCACAGAAAGATCAGCATGCACTGGAGGGGAGGTCAAAACAAAACAAAACAAAACAACCCCAAAACAAGCAACAACAACAACAACAAAAAACACCTCATTTTCTTACCTGAAGGGGAAAATACTTAACCAACAAATGACAAGAAGAATAGCTAATTATAAGAGAAAAATATTACACCAGCTTGTCCCACTGGCCTGGGTGCAGAGACACGAAAGGAAGACACGAGGTAGCACCTCGCGTCTGCACGCAGCAGCTGCCCGATACGCGTTAGTGAGCTTTTGAAAGAAAGAAGCATCTTGGCCACGGAGTTAAGAAGAAACTCACTGGATTTGCTCTGTCCAAAATCTCTTCCAGAAAACTCCCTCTGACAACACGAGTACTTGTGAAGCAAGAGATAACGGAGAGACGAGAATCACAGAAGACCAAAGTGGGTGCTGGAAAATGCGGGCTGAAGACATTCTACAAAATTCAACATACCCGTCCTGAACGTTATGCGCTGGGGCCCTCCTTCTGTGCCATCTGCTGCTTGAGAATAGACAGCGGCACAGTACTCCGTGTCGGGCACCAACCCCGTAATCAGGACTTCCGTGTCTCCAGTCAGAAGATGGTCCGAAGACAGGTCCACACGTTTGAGCTGGTATCCAGACACGGGGGCCGTGTGGTTCCGGGGTTGCTGGGAGAAGCTCTCCGTGGCGTTGGCATCTACTTCCATCACAAAAGTCAAATACATTAACTGCAACGGAAGCACATGCCTGTCCGCCCACAGCACCTTCCCCATAAGAGGACACGTCAGGCAGCACCCACAGTTACTACACCACAAATTCTTCCCTTCCTCCCCCACAGAGAGACACATCCTCCTGGAAGGACCCTGATTTTCAGCAGCTCTTTCGCTCTCTACTTGTATCCCACGTACCACCCCCCTTCTCTTTCCAACTCGGCTGTTTTCAGTTCTTCCCCTTCTTTCAAGAAAATCGTCTTCCGCCCAGCTCCAAAGGTGGTCATCTAGGGACGGCCACTGGACTCAAACCTGGCTAATCTGATCTCACTCCAGGAATTTCTCCCCTGGGCCAGACCCCTTCTGATAGGAGGTGAACTGAGGGACCTGCTGGTGGCCATTTCTCCCTGAGCTTTGGGGCAGGAGCCACTCTGAAGTCAAGGCCGATATGGAAGGAGGCAGGCGGAGGAGACGGGAGCCCCCTCATCTCTTGCTTCGGGGCCTTACTGCCCACAGCAGGAAAACAGACATGAGCCCACAAGTTGCTTTTCTAGCCCCGGCTATTTAAAGTCTGGTTTCTGTCAGTTGTGGTCAACAATCCTAACACCCCCGTCGTAGTACTATTTCCTGATGTGTAAAATGGGGATTAAGCACTTGTTCTTCTCAATTCACAGGGCTGCCTCTGAAAATGCTTCAAATCTGTAAATGGCTACTCCACTGCCAATGCAGAAGACATCTGCTAGCCTCGCTTGCTAAGTTTCGCTTTTCGCAACAGATGTGACAAGTTCATCCGATGGCCCTACTTGGGTTAATGCATCTAGTATTTGTTGACCTGAAAGTTTAAAGAGCTAAAGGGGCCAGCTCCTTTGCGGGATGCCAGACTCAGAAAGCTTCAGCCCCTGTTACCATTCTGAACCCCAATGATCTGACCTGTAAAATAAGAACATTTCCCTCCTTCCTCATACAGATGTGGGGTAAAACTAACAGTCTGGAGCAAAGCCCTCTAGAAATTCTAAAACTCTATACAACTACAAGAGCAATATTTCTTAAAACTATTAAGTTACTGAAAGTCAAAACCAGTATGGCAGATGAGAAGCACACTTTTGTAACTCACCTAAGCCACTATCTATAACCGAGGACTCTCTCCCTTCCTCATTTGATTCTGAAAGACACAGGGTGACCTTTTGTCGAACCCCTGGTGTCAGGTGTGATATGTTGACCACCAAGACTTGAGGCGACTCCTTACAACTTTCGACGCCTTCAAAGAGCATCCAGCAGGTGGCAGTGTCATTGCCATTCTTCCAGGTAATAGCAACTTGCGTCACACCCACGAAGGAAACACGAAGATCAGAAACTTGACTCGGCTCTATTTTAAAAAACACACAATGGGCATTGATGGAACAAGGTATTTGCAGTCACCTTTCATTGGGAATAACTGGGGTCACTGATGTTCCAATGTGACTCACTAAAAATACTTTTTTTATATCAGGGTCCTGTGCAAGTCCATCATTTCACAGCAGGAAATGATACAGAAAAGAATAAACCTGTAACCAAAGATTTTTAGGATCTCTGCTCTGCTCCACAACAGTTAGCTTCAACACTGATTTGAGAGTCTTCGAAACTGTCTTCAAAATTGTCAGACTGCAGGGGTGCCTAGATGGCTGAGTCGGTTCAGTGTCTCACTTTGGCTCAAGTCATGATCTCACAGTTCACGGGTTCAAGCCCCAGGTCTGGCTCTGTGCTGGTAGCTCAGAGCCTGGAGCCTGCTTTAGGGTTATCTCCCTGTCTCTCTCTCTGCCCCTCCCCTGCTCACACTCTGTCCGTGTCTCTCTCTCAAAATTGAATAAAAACATTTTTAAAAATGGGTTTTTTTTTTATTTTAAAAAAACAACAACTAAGCACTTAGTCCACAACCAATAAATAGTAGCTGATGAGGAAGGCCTTGTCCCGGGGGGCTTTCAGGTGGAATGAGGGGCTCAGCAACCAGGCTGGGTATTTCCCGCCACCTTCCCACCTCCTCTGGCCTGTGTCATCTCATCCCCATCACCATTGCTAAATTCTATCTTCTTTTTCCTCCTTCATTCTCTTCCATCTTCTCCCTGCCCTCTCCACCTGTCCCCCTCTCTTTCACGAGAGAGCAAACCTCTATCGTAGGGTTTGTTTTTTTTTTTTTTTTTGCCTCTGAACTTGTGCTCTAAGGAGCGACAAGAGTTTTTTGAGGGTACTGATGACACCCCACTCCTATGGGTCCTCTCTCCTCTCTCTCCAGTTCTTTTTCCTTATGGGGCTTCCAGGCAAGATTTCATTTAAAGAAATAGTTTCCTGGCTTGAAAAAAAAAAAAAAAAGCCTGCTGAAAACCGACAGTTTCATTTGCCTGTTCCATGTACAGAAGGTGCCCTGGGCTCCAAGACATCAGGCTTCCAGGGCCTCACCAGCCAAAGAGATCACATCCCCAGATCAGAAAACCAAAAGAAGAGCTCATTTTTAAATGTTTGGTTCTTCCCAGCTTAAAAGAGCTTCTTGTCTCTTTTTTGTACTTTTGATTCTTTTCTGCTTAAAAAAAAAAAAGGGAGAGAGCTAAATGTGCAGCTATAACACGTGCCTCAGGGTACTGACATTTAAGCTAAATAAAAATCTAAACCTAAGCGAGTGTCACTGGGCTATCATTTCATTTGAAACACGCTCTTCTATAAAGCACACCAAACTTCCAGGCCCGGCAAATACTCCTGAGAATATAAACAGCATTAACTTCCCTGCCGGGCTTAAGAAAAGCCTACTAATTACAGACACCATCAAGACACATGTCTAATGGGGTCACTGCTCCCAAGTCTTAGCAGAAAAGCAAATACTAGCCAATAATAGCAAAAGATTTTTAAAAGTGGACCTACTTAAAACCTCCCAAAGCACCCAAGACCTGAATACCAAATGATCTGCATTGATCAGGTAATGATTCAGGTATCACCTGAACTCCTGGGCTTGAACCAATATGGCATCTTTTCTCCTCCCCTTCCACCATTAACGAAAACCAATCTCTCCCCCACAGGCAACGTGAATGGACAAGGCTCTAGGATACAGGGTGAAAAGGAACGTCTCACGATCATTCCTGGGAGCTCATCTTACCTGTCACATCATTTGCGACCGTGGAATCTGCCCAAGTCTTACTGACTGTTTCTGAAGTGGTGAAGGATGTGTATGAAGCTGTTGGGCTAAAGCCTGTGGTGTTATCCCCAGCTTGACCTTCACCTTCTGTGTGCGTGTACGTAGAAGCAGCTGAGTCCGTGTTTGTCCATGCTGGGGCCACACTGGTTGGACTGATGGACACAGCTTCAATGTCAGACACAAACAAGGATTCTATTTTAATATGGTTTCCCGAAAGAGGAAAGAAAAAATTATATTTAAAAAAGAAATATAAGAGTCAGGACTGCTCTGCATCTCTACTTTTCAGAAGTGAATTGTGCAATCACAGAATTTTATTTCCCTCTATTTCTCCTCCTGGACTTTCTTCCCACAAACTAACTGACTGTTTCTGAAGTGGTGAAGGATGTGTATGAAGCTGTTGGATATATATATATATATATATATATATA